TACATCTTAATCTTAATAATGCTCTTACCTTATCGTCCATTCCTTCAATATTTAATATTTCTCTTCTAAGATAACTAGGTCTTTCTATTCCTATTCCTACTTCTTTATATCTTTTATTATACCTTGCCTCCCTTATCCTACTATCTACTATTTACTTCTGTATGGCCCTTTTTCTTTAAAAGAATTTATATCTAATTTTCCATTCATAATAAGAGAGAGAGAGCGAGAGAGAGAGAGAGATTCTATTTATATAATTGATTAAAATTAAATAAGCATGATTTCTACATTTAATGACATTTACTTTTTTTGAAGAAGATAATATAATTGATCGACTTTATTATGCTTAATATTTGAAACTAATTTTTTTATAGAAAATTTAAACAGAATAAATTTATGCAAAAAATAAATATTATTTTTTCTCAATTTTGTTTTTCTTTTTAGATATTTAAATATATATATATGTATTTTGATTATTAAAGCTTGTAATTTTTAAAATATACTTTAGTTATTCTATTTTAGTATAATAAAATACTAAAGTAGTTTTCATATTTTTAATTTATTTCTTTTCGAGATTTAATTTTAATGAAATAAATTAATAAAGAAATAAATTAATTTCTGCGATTAAAATGATACTACATGATATAATTTGGATAATTTTCAATTAGATACATAATAAAAGAATTTTTTCGTTATACATTTAACTGAAAATTATCCGAATCATGTCGTATTTGATATAATTTTAATCAGAGAAATCTCATTAATCCATTAAAATTATTTTCTAAAAAAATAAATTAAAAATATAAAAACTTTAGCTTTTATTTTATTAAAATAATGCAATTTAAAACCTCAATAATTTCGTAATTACTTTCGAAAAAAGTCAAAACCTCAATAATTTCGTAATTACTTTCGAAAAAAGATAAATTAAGAATATAAGAACTTTAGAGTTCTTCTATTATATTAAAAAAATTTTTATTGACTAAAATATATAAAGAAAAATAATATTATATTAAAAATCATAATAAAAAAATTAAATTTATTTTTTACAATAAAAATAAGAAATATATTTTTCCTGGAAAAAAAATTTTATTTAGTATCTTTCTACTTATCGTAAGCATAAATTGAATTAATTTTTTTAGCGAAAATGAGAAATTTCATGACTCATGAAAGGAAAGATTAATTAACATATATATCATTATCTGATATGTCGTTGATCTCAATTGGCTGCTAACAATAAGATTGCGTTTACGCGTCGCGTGTAAAATAAGAAGTCGGGGCGCCTTAAGACGGTAGTTTCGCGCCGCGTAGCGCGAAATTAATATTAAATTCTTTCGCCGACAAAGAGTCTAGTGTTCAACGGCGTACCGACAAACGGCGGACGATATGTCAATAACTACGGCCGCTGCTATAAAGCAATAAGTAATCACACATATCGTTTTAACTGGGTTAACTACGATGTCGGCGACGATGACGAGAGACATGCCGATATCGAGAACGATACGATACGATTTTCTTTGGCGGACGGTGTACTCCGCGAGCGCATACCGGAAGTGCAATTTCGCGGGGCGGCGACGGCCACCGAAAATAACACCGCCGACAAAACTCCTGCAGACGCTGGAAACGAGAAAAGAGAGAGGGTCGCTTAACCCGTTGCAAGCCGTTTCGCGGCTTTTGTCCGGCGAAAAGCTGGTTCAAGGCTGGACCAAAACAAACTTTTACTGCCGATGGATTCGAGCGACTCTGGAATATTATCGTACCACGTGTACGAATACTTTTGTGGCCAGGATTTTTTCTCTGCTCGTACCGATAAATTATTAGAGGAAAAGAAACAAAATAAAACAAATGCCCTGCCATTTTGTTTTTGATTTTCTAATTTTTAATTAAAAGTTTAAAATGAGAATTTATATTCAAATTTATATTATAGGAGATTGCCTTTTTCATGTAGCAATTGCATTTTTAAAATTTTAATTTCAATTTAGTCTTTATAAATGAACTGAAAGCTATTTTAAAGAAGATAAAAATAGTGTAAAAATATTAAAAGCAAAACTATGTATTATAAAAATAAAACACGAACAAATTTAGAAACATGAAGAATAATGTATTATTGAAAGAAAGACTTTGTAATTAATATGTAATTAATTTTAATATAATATGATATAAAATAATTTATATGTAATTTATAATATATATGTATATGTAATAATATATATGTAATAATATATATGTAATTTATATGTAATTTATTGAAAAAAAATTTCAAATCTTGTTTTGAATGCTAAAATGCTACTAAACTATAAATTTCTAATAAATAAATTAAGCAGATCAAGTTTATATTATCAAATTTATTTTTTGATAAAATATAATAAAATTAGTTGTAGAAAAAAACCCTCTTGTTTGTTTAAATAAATCAATATCAATTTTTTAAGATGATTATAAAAATAAATTATCTGAAAGGAGATAAATTATTTAAAATTTTATTTGTTTTAACATTCTTTAAGATTTATTGTTATTATTTTTTATTTCTGATCTCTTATTAAACAAAACAGCAATTACGATTATCCGATAGTATTTGTTCGTTAGTACAATTTTTTTATTGTATTTTTATTGTATTTTTATCGTATTTTATCTTTAATATCATTTGCAAGTACAATAATTCGAATAAACAAAGGATTGTTTGGAGATCAGTAAAGAATTGTTTGGTATCAGTCAAGTTAAGCGAGCCATTTTTCATGGACCAGAAAACCGCGTGTCTTCTTTCGCATCATATTTTCCTTTCTCAAAGGAAAATATTATTTCGCATGGGAATTTCTGCGTGCCCTATTACGGATTCCTGTCTTTCGCGCTCGCCTGTTTTTTCGTTGCCTCGTATTTTCCGAGGGAGAGACGTAAACAATTCTCACCCTTCCTCTCAATGTAAATACAAGAAAAGATAACTCATTGCGCAAACCTTGCATATAAAATCCTCGACATATATAGATTTCTCGAGGGGAGGATGTTGTATAAGTGAAAAACGAATATTTAAGCTTTTAATGAGCACCGAATAGATACGCAGAATTGATTGATTCATTCATGCAATCTTTTTTCGTTTGTTTGCAGCTAATGTCACATTTATTGTTTACGTATCGATATCTAAAATAATTAACCTCTCAGATTTTCGTAAAGTCATCTAAGAAGACTGAACAATTTCGCTTTGAAATTTCTAATGATATGACTATTTATCGTAAACATGGCTAAAATAATAAATATTTTTTTATCTTTTTCCTTCACTAAAATAAATCTTTGATTTACTTTAAAATTCTCTTTCAGATTGCTTTATATTCCCAAGTCACGTTCTTTTGGTCTTAATTAACTTTTGCATAAACGTTTCCTTCAATGTTCTCTTTCTTCTACATTTTTTCTTTTGTATCAAATATACTCAGCTTTTAAGAGAAAACTTTCTTAAACAGATATATATGTAAAATTGAAATAAAGCATAAATTAATGAAATGCAATTTTAATTTTAAAATTTCTTGCATGTTGACTGTTTTTCTTCATAAAGGTTTTTAAATTATTATTTATCCGTTTACAATTTTCACTAGTTAACAACGTATGCTAGTAATAACAGAGAGCAGCAAAATAAAGGAGAAATTGTGTAACAGAAAGTTTAAAAACCAAATAGAAAGTTTAAAAATTTTTTTAAATTTGTTTAGAGCCAAGAGACTCGCCTGGCATGAAGGCAAGAAATAAATAAATTTTACTTGAAAAATTGATTTCTTTCTCTTCCTCATCGACAGCTTCTTCCTACTAGTCCACGTCTATTATACCGAGATTTATTGGATCGTAATAATAACAGTAAAAGAAGCGAATCTTGAATTTTTCTGCTCGTACGACCAAGGTTGTCTGGACGATGATGGAGAAAGGAATCGAGGCGCCATTCAGGAGACGCGATTATCATCATGTGAAACATCCGCATGTTCTTTCCGAAGTTATCGAGAGAATGACGATTATATGAAGAAGCGATGAATTTAAAGGAAAAAAAGGCATGCGCTCTGGATGCGCACGCCAGTATTGTGTAATACATCATCTTCGGTTATAATTATGTTGAATTAACTCTTTCTCTCTCTCTATCTATCTCTCTTTTCCTTCCTCTTTCTCTTTCTTCTCACAAGGATAAATAATAAAGCTTTTTAGCTCCGTATTTATCTGAGATTATGCATTGAGCATCCGCTAATATCGTAAATTACAATTTTTGTAATGTAAGCAATTATAGGCTGATTGGAAAATGAATAGATTTTTTAAATATAAACTCTGCAAATCAATTTTTTTTACTAATCTAATATATTGATTAATTTGTCGCTACAAATTCCTGAAAATATTTAATTAACGTGAAAACAAATATATAATATAAATTAGTTACAGTAATAATTAGTTACAGTAATAATTTTTTGTTTACATGTACTATAAAAAATTAAAATCGATTTTTTTTTAGATTTTTTTTAAATAACTTCTGAAGCATAATTTTGTGATATTAATAAACTAAAATATGTATATATAAAGTAAATTTTACATTGGAGTTTTTATTAATTATTATATACAATGTAAATAAATGGCAACAATAAATTATTATATGTAATACGTGTGTTTTATATTAGATATATATTAATATTATATAGATATTATAGAGATGAGATTTTATATAGGTATATTAGATATATATGTTAATAGAAAACCAAATGAGATTTACTTTGTATTATTTATGCTACAATATATTATGTCACAAAATCGCGCTCGATCTGTTTAAATTATCCAAGAACCGGTTTTAAATCAACATCGGATGATTTAAGCTGATTCTTCGTTTCTAGTTTCGATTCTTGACAATAGGTATAAATTGATTGCGAATGTCATTTCTGTCATTGTTCATTTGTTAGATAATTCAAGAATAATCGAGTCCAGTCACTATATTCAGATTACATTGACGAGAGAAGAGAGAATCTGCCCAATTTAAATTAATAATTAATGATTTAATGGTGAGTCAAACTAAAAATAGAGAATCGATCAGTGAGCATGAAGCCACGTTGGAACTTCGCAGACTCCAAGACGCTGCCAAGCTTGCAGCTATATATCACAATGGTGAAGTAAAGTTTCAGAGAAGGACAGATCTATCGCATATCGTGCATGCCAGTCTACATTTTGTTCAATTCGTAAGAAATCGAACATAACGATCACTTTTTTATTTGTAAATCATTTAGTTTAAATCTTATTCAGAGTTAAAGACAATAATGGAAAATAATCATGTTATGATTATTTTATTCTTAGTATTTGCGATAAGCATAATTAAAAATATAATTATATTAATATAATTTAATTAATATAATTATATAAAACATGATAAAATTTGATAGAATATTAAAAAATATCAGAAAAGGATATATCATTTGATATATCGATACAAGGAAATGAATGAAAATGGACGACTGAATTTATCATTTTACGTTTACTGAAATATTCGTTAGATGAAGTAAAAATTTACAAGCATGCAGAATTCAAATTTATAAAAATGATATAATCGTTCTGTGAGCTCCTTTCTTCGCATGATAAAAAATGCGATAAAATGTAACGTCTTAAGATAGTATTATTATCTTTACATTATTGCATATTCCGCGTGTAAAATAAAACTACTTTATATTTAAAAATAATACAACTGGGCGCGACCCAGTTTTCAGGATTCCCTTGTCATTGCACGTGATTCAGTAACCATCTCACGATAATCGCAACATCGAGATTTTTATTATGTAATGCGATATGATATGTCAAACAGAAATACGCATTGGACCTGTTTACACGTGTGAATATGCGTGTCGATACGTGTACTTCGCAAATTTTAATCGTTTCAGGAAGAGAACCGCAGGCTTCTCGCGTGTTCGATTACTCGCGTTCTATTTCAGCTGACAGTATTGTCACGGAAATCTGTTAAGACCTCATTGTTAGCACCATATACATATCTAGCAGCGAATATCTTCGATGAATATTTTTCACAGGCGCTTGTGAAAGCTTGCAGCATCTTTGTTGTCACATATATCTTATCATATTTTCTTATAATATATTCTATTTATATTTTATTTTTACTTTTATTTATATTTTTTTATAGTATATTTTACTTTTAATTTGACGCAATTTTTCTATATTTTATTTACATTTATTGATGCGAGTATATGTAGATATGCGCGGAATTGTTACAACATCAAAATTTTTCTAGATAATTGCATCGACCATTGAAATATTTCATCATATACATCACTATATAAATGAATGCGCGCGAAAAAAGGATGACACGATTCCGTCATTGCCGGAGGAAAGAAATCCTATTTTCTTCATGTATCCTATCTGCATGTTGATGAGCCTCGTTCTTGTGATATTATGGCTTGTTAAAAAAATACTACCTGATAGACCTATAATAGTGAGTTTTTCTTCCAAAATGCTTATAAGAATCTTCAAAATAGAAAGTATAATATTGTGTTCCATGCAATATATTTTTATTTTATATGATTTAGATATAAATTCCAAATTTAGTTATTTATTTAAATAAAATTACAATCTAAAAATAAAATATATAGTACTAAAAATTGCTGAATTTGAAATACATGATCTTTAATTGATTATCATGTAACGTTTGCTTATATGCTTTTCTTGTTCGTAACAAATAATTTCTAACTCAGAGTTTAAAAATTTATAAAATTAAATATATACTTCTATAATAATATTATATTATACATATGTAATTTAAATTTTTATTTTTACAACGGTAGTTAATTTTATTTTGTTTTTGATAAAAGAAAATACAAAATTAATTATCTCAATGCACGTACACAATAAATAAATAAATAAAATTACGTATATATGTTAAGTAAAAAATAATCATGTCTTGTTATGATAATGATGATTGCAAGCCTCTTGTAGTATGTACGGCATCGGCTATTATGATGCTCGTGACAGGAATAATGGAAATGAAACACGCTGATATGTACATCGATGTTACTGAATTTACTGATGAGGAAATATTAGAGCATCCCATCTTTATTCATAATTTCATAATGTGTATATTATCACTTTTCGTCATGACTTTGTATCTGATTCAAGTGTGGGTTCTCTTTGATCAGTGGCAATGGGTGCGTAAGCATAAACAAAAAAATACACATTTTGTCGATGTTTAAAATAATCCTCAAAGTATTTCTACATTATAAGCTTTATCTAATATAATAATGTATTTTCATTATGCTATTATTTTAGAAATCTTTAAAATATAGAGTACAAATTTTGCAGTTATTTGTACTAGTTTCTTTAATTTTCCAGGAAATTAGAAATAGCTTTAGTGAATTAGTTATCAACAATAACTAATTTTATATTAAGTACGAGAAAGATTATGATTTAAATAATTGATTTAAAATTATATACATACATACACGTTATGTACACATATACACATATAAAATAACCATTTACAACTCTAGATTCGAGAAGAACAAGATACAATTACATCAAGTGATATACAAAGTTCCTATTCTAGTACGGATAGCGATGTAACTGAAAATTCCATAAATGGAGAAAAGATCAATAAAAATAGTTCCAGACAGCAGATTGTAGAACTGGCACCAATTCCCTCCTTGAGAGATTTGTCTGCCTCCGCTCCGATCACCGATAGTACCGTAAGAATGGCAATTCATTCTGTCTACTGTACAATTCTATCGACACTTTGAATCTTGAAACAGATCAAGATCTCCTGTATTAAATAAGAAATAGAAACATTCTATATTTAGAGAAAAAGAATAAGAATTGTATATCTTTAATTCATAAAATGACATTGGTCATTCCAGTTCTAAGGTTATCAAATAATCAATAGAATGTTTCTTCTTCAAAAAGCTTCTAGATTTCGCAGATACACACACACATACACACACACACACACACATATATATATATGCACAATACAATATATACATTTTAAAAAATATATATATTGTAAAAAATGTATATATTAACATATAAAAGGAAATTATTCGAAAAAGAGATAAGATTCTTTTATAGTCTTTTATAATAATTCTTTTATAAAAATTCTTTTATAATAATAATTTAGGAATATTTGATTTTTATCATTTGATTCTTTTAGGAGGTGGCTGGAGAACCAATCCTATATTGTTGTTTTGTCGATTGGTGTAATTATATTAAAATAAAAATGAAAAGTAAACCAAGGCATGAATTTCAAATTATTCATGTCATGTGATATCTGGAAAAAATTTTCAATGATTAATTGGACAAATTGTGAGAATAATGATGGTACATTGGTATAATATATCATTCTCATTGTTTCTTTGAAACTTCAAATTCAGCATTTATTACGCCATCTTGAGGGACTGATAAATATCAGCCAGTTGCCCAGCTCTGCGCATAAAACAGTTAATTTCTAACACAATATTAAATTATTTATAGAATAAATAAATGTGCTTTTCCCAATTTCTGCTCATACAATTTGTTTTATTATTAATAATATTAATAGTATAATGAAAATAATAATATTAATAATAATAATCTTATTATTATTTTATTATTATTATTAATATTAACAACCTTTTTTTTATTTTTAATAAGATCAATTTAATAAGACGTATGAAATATAATTAATAGATAAATAGTAGAATAATAATAGTAGAGTAGAGTAATAATAATTATATTTATTCTTCTAATATTTTTATTTTATATATCATTAATACACATTTATAAAATTATTTAAAATTAAAATTTATACATTAAATAAAATGTTTTTTATTATTTATATGACAATTTTATGTCAATATGTAATATAATAATCTTTTGCTAGAAAAAAATATGACTCATATATATTAAAGAAATATGACTCATATATACCAAAGAAATATAGTGCAATATATGTACATATATATATTTGCCCTAATCTTTGATGATGCAGTTTTTCCAAGAAATTCGATATGTTATATTGTTATTTTTAACAATTATATATTAATAATAGTTATGATATCTATCACATACACATGATTAATTGCTTTTATATGATAGTTATAAATTTGTTTTCTCTTACGCAATTATTCATTTTATTACTTATAATAAAATTCTAAAAAAAAATATACTATAGATCCGCTGACTTAATAAGTTTTTATTTAATTTCTTCAATATTATAAATACTATATTATAACATATGTATATATGCATACATATGTGTGTGTGTGTGTAATATTTAATATGTTTTAATATTTATGATTAGTATTTATATTTAATATTCATAATTTAGAATGCATAGTTTAATTAATTTTAATATAATTATTTTTATAAGCCAAATAAAAATACAATAAAAAAGAGATTCAATATTCTTTTTGTGGGGAATTTATGACATTAATTTTGTGAAAATCTAATGAAAAAAAATGTGCTGTATTATATTGCAAGTAATCAGCGAAAGGAGGCTAATGGAAGCAAACGCGAATAATTTTATTGGCAATATAGATATATATAAGAAAGATACGGATACACGTAAAAAGTGTGGCGAAATAAAAAAGATAAAAAAATGTAAAAATTGAGAAAAACGATCAACTATAATATCATAGTAAAAAAATATAGTTGAATTTTCTATTTTTGTAGTTATTACTACCATAATATTGACAATAATAACCTTGTGCGTAATAATAATAATAATTATATTTTAAATAATAATTTTAAATATAGTTGTCGCTAAAAAATAAATTTAAATTATAATAATTGCGACTATTTTTTTAATGTATCACAAGTAGAAAAACTCGGAATCAAATAGTTATAAACAGAAAGAAAGAATAAATATATTAAATACAAATTCTAATAAATCCAAGTATTATGTATTTCGATATTATATTCTTCGCATGTGTGCAATATACATATATTAAAAATATAATTTTTATAATTTATACATGTATTAAAAATATATTAAACTCAACGCGCGTGTAATGTCTGTGCTCCTGTATGTAGAGCATAAAGAACAATTCTTAATATCTTCGTTATTTTATACTAAATATTAAATATTAATTTACAAATCGTATAAAAAACTATGTTTTAAATTTCATGATAATGATAGATTCGAAAAATAAAGTACATTTGTATTTAATATTATATATTAAGTAAATATTGTATATAATAGTCTTAAGCTCGCTTATTATAAAATAATATAAGTGACAGCATGCATTTCAATGCGCCCAAATTTGTATACTTTATAGTTCGTATATAGTTCTTTTTTATGTCGAAAACATGCAGAATGATTTTTCTGAAAAAGAATTGCAACACAAAAAAATTTTTATTTATGTATTTTATGAACCTCCTGAATAAATTTACAGTCCTTGATATTGATTAATTTAAAAATTAGACTACTTTCCAAATGCTAAGTTTCCCTTTTTATACACCGGAAATTATTCTTATATCATTATAAAACTTGAAGCGCTAGCATCATATTTTATGTGGTTTGAATCATTATAATACGTGATGTCATCATATGATTGTAACGAGCAACATGATGTCACGCTCGAGGTGTAGAATCGACGTAATCGATCTAATTCCTAAATACTATCTTTTATTTTAATAGTAGTAATATTCCATAATTGCATCAATTGTAAAATAAATTATTATTAAATGTGAAAAACAATTATTAAATGCAAACAATTATTAAATGGAGTTTTTTCAATAAGATAAAATAATAAATAAATGGGTAATTTGTAGACGAATAATTGATTAAATGTAACAATGTATTGTTTCCAAGTTTAATTAATAATGTAATCGTTATTCCCACAAGAAGAATATTATTTTATCTAATTATAGAGAAACAATAAAATTAATTATAGAAATAATTTTGTGATATTAATTTTTAATGTAACACAGATAAATAAAAATAGAAGAATAGATATGAAATAAGAATAGATATGAAAAATATTATAATTGTTAAAATAAAAACTTTAGAAAAAATATACTACATTATATTAACTTTAATTATTTGAAAAAAAGAAGATGTGTTTATCATTTATTCAATATATTAAAATATAAAAATGTGCTAATTATTAATATTTTTGTAGAACAATTCACCATAGCGTGTGAAAAATTTTGAGAAATAATACAAAAACATAATTTTATAAAAACATAATTTTATAAAAATATATATAATTTATAAAATATTGATTTATTCAATTCCATTTAAAAATCAAAAAATTTGTATCAAAAATTTTTCTTAATTTTTTAAGGATCTTTTCTTTAAGACTTTTCCTACAGATTAATTATTTAATTAATGATATGGATTAATTTATTAATTATTTAGTAATTATAGTTGACATTTGTATATTTAACTTTTATTTATATTTACTTATATTTATGTAAATTTATTATCCTCTAACCACGTTAATTAGATATTTTGATTTTGTTGTAGAAAAATATAAAATATTTTTTTACAATTACATTTGTTAAGCTAAAGGAATCTTCAGTCAAATTGAACGTCACTGAACTATAGCATCTACGTGGTCGCTCGATGCGTAAACATGATGTAAAAGCCGGCGCGCGTTTCCGTCAATCATAAAAATTGAGGCTGGCCCCGACGCGCCTCCATAATGCATGGTCGGTGGTCGCTCTTCAGCATCAGTCGTCGTTGAACCTCCGTCTCGCGAGCAGCCGCGACCGTCCAGTCAATCGAAAATTCAGACACGTAAGTACGCTATATATTACGACGCCGAACACGCCAAGAAATTTCTTATTTTTTCTTTATAAATCGCAAATTTTTAACGGAAAATGTTTGTAATCCGAAAACGCTTGAGACACTTCCAATGCGTCTTGTTTCAGGTTCTTTGTTCGTTCTATCCTTTCGTGTTGTTTATTCTATCTTTTCTGGTTTGTGAGTTGAACCTTGGACCGATCGGTATAAAGATATATATCTTCATTAGAAAAACAATAACAACATAACCAAAAATTATAGCTTATTGTAAAGCTGAAATTTAAATGCTGAAATTATTTTTGGATACGTTTTATGTAGAGAGAGAGAGAGGGGGGGGGGGCAGAGAGAGACATATAAACTATTGAAAAAAATAGTATATCTGAATAACATACTTCTTATTTTTAATTAAATGACGTGAATAATGTCATATAAGAAAATTACGAAATTTTTTATTTCTGTGTATATATATATATATATATATATATATATATATATATAATATTAAAATATAAATTTACTATTTTTATAAATTTTGAAGCATTTTTTATATAATTTTGTTTTTCAGTTGATAATATAATGCTATTAATTGTTATAAAATAATATGCGATATTTTCAATAGCATAGAGATTTTAACATGTGAATCATTTAAAATTAGTATACAAATATAAGAATTTTACTTTTTTATATTTTAAACATTTTTATATTTTGTAAGAAATTTTATATTTTTTATAATCATTCACACATTTCATTTTAATACACTTTAAAAACTAGAGAGAAAGAGAAAGAGAGAGGAATTCTGAAAGAAATTATAAAAACGAAGTCAAGGCAATGGTGAGCAGCGTGAAAGTGTGTCTTCCTTTTGGGTATAAGAAATGTGTTCTTCTTACGCGATATATGACCGCAATTTACGCCTCAACGCTTAATTTACATCGTTCGCTCGTTTGAGATCACGGATTATTGAGAATAATAACGAGATCTCCTTATCCCCCATATCAAGTTTTCAACTTAATTGCGTGTTGCAGTGGATAAACAATTCAAATGACCTACTTATTCATCTTGAACGATGTCGCTTCAGATTGACATATTAAAAATCATATTAATTTTTAAATCTTCTAAGTATTATATTTGATGTGGCATTATATTATTGTTTTATTTGTTCTCGTTTCAAAAGATAATTTCTACATACTTTTGTGATATGTGATAATATAAATGTGATAATATAAATATATCTTAATGCTCTATATTTAACTATTTGTGAGCTTCAAATTAATTGGAATGAAAATGAAAATTATTATAAAATTAAAATTATTATAAGATTTTCAAGTAAGATATCTATTCTGCTATCGCAAAAAGATTAAACATCGCCACATTAATCTCGCTTTGATGAGTCAAGCAATCGCGATGTAAAAAATTCATTACTTGGCATACACTGACGAATAAGTATTCTCGTTCAATGACGATCAATGATGATATAGATATGCAGAGCACATCGCTAATTCATCAGTTTTGAAAACTATTTCCACTCATTCACATCGTTTGCACTCTATTTTGTATATATACATATTTTGTATATATACATATGTATTTGGACATATCCAAAATAGAGTGCAAATGATGTGATGAGAATACAGGAATGTATTCTCATTATATCGTTTGCATTCTATCTATCTTGGATATGTCATGGTCGAGCCGACTCATTCACATGTCATTCACTGCGAAATGACGTAAAGTGTTTTTTTACAATTGATGTAATCAAGTACGAACTATTTTATTTATTGGATTGAGATAGATGATTATATATTGTGAGTTCTATGTATCTTCTCGGAAAACCATTTACAGAATTTTGAACTTTATAAATAACGTATTCGGAGAGAATCTATTTAAATAAATTTATTAATTTATTTTCTTAAATAAATTTATTAATTTATTTTCTTAAATAAATTTATTAATTTGTTGGTTATTATTATGTTTTAATGTCATAATTTCATATATACCAATTTTAATTTAAAAAAAACTGTACATATAGCGTGACATTTTGATCTTTAATGAAATAATTTTATAAATATATTTTTATCGCATCATTAATTTAAAATAGTGTAGAAGAAAGAAAGAGAGAGAGAGAGTATGCGTATAATTTTCTTCACATAAAAATAATATCGAATTTTATTATTTAAGAAAAATTACAAAAGAAATTTTACATTATACATAAAAAGATAAATGTAAAAAAAATGTCAAAATGTTGATAATTTAATCCTAGTAATTAAAAAGTTGGATTAGAATTCACAGCTATTAAAAAATGTCATCATGTATTAAAATTATTGTAGTTATAATTCAATTATTAAATTATATTAATTATATGAATTCGTTATAATATTAAAGCATGAAAGCATTAATATATTTTATCAATAGTGCTTTATTACCTTCTAATATGCTTGTTTTTCAGTATAAATATAGAAAGCGCATAATAATATTCACTTTAACTGAACACTACGCATTTCCGGTCTCATTTACATGACTTTAGTTAGGTTATCGATTATTATGTCTTCATTCTTATTTATGATTTATTATGCTTTCATGCGACTTACATTCAGTGCTTATAGTCGCTATTTTTTTTTATAAGACGCATATCCATTGGTATCAATAAATATAATCGTTATTTATTGTATAATTTTATAATTCCGGATGCGAGTTCTTGTATAAAAGTACGCAAAAATGAGGCAAAAAATAAATAAATAGTATGATTTATGATTAATTAATTTACTATTTCTTTTTACTTGTAGATCAGACAAAATGGCTACCATCACGAGGTTGTCGATTATCAAATCCCTTGAACTTGTAAGTATATTAATAAATTTAATTATCTTTAATATGTACATATAAGATCGTATGTCTTCAATTTAATGATTGGTATCTTGTCATGCTTCCGCGCACACGCGTACGCGCACAATTTTAAATATAATATTATTTTATCTTTATGTAAAATAACTTTTAATACCTTTATGTAGAATAATTTTATATCTTTATGTAAAATAACTTTTAATTTAAACATGTGCAATTATTTGTATGATAAATTTCCATATAAATTGTATGATATATTATTTAAATAACTTTGAAAACATTCTAGCGTTATAACTAAAAAAATCATTAACATCATAAATCATTTCTCTCTTAATGAGTAAGCTCAACAGTCGACTGTATGATGTCACGTTATTAATTAACATAATCGGAAACATTTATTAGCGAACTGTTGAGATAGGCAAATAGTTTATTTCAAAAAATTCCTCTTATTCTCAGCATTTAAAATTATGTGAAAATTCTTGAGATTCGACGCAAACTGTATAAATGTCGATGTTTATTGCACTTTTTGTATTTCCAGCCGCAAGAAGAAACAGTATCCTGGAGGTCGTTTGACACTCCTCTCTAAGAGCTCCATCACGCTCTCAAATTTATTTTTAACCCTACTGCGTTGTTCCTTCCTTTCGAACAATTGGCCTAATTTTGAAATGCGTCGATCACAATCCGGATCGCGCTTTTCTGAGATCAAGGAAATCGACGTCTATGCGTGCACGTGTCAATATCGAGCTATTGTTGGGCGGTGTAACATTCCGCGCTGCATATCTTTCGCGATTCGTAAGGCGATGAGAATGGAGAGTGACATAATCGACGCTGATTATCGCACAAGAGCGTTCTCTTCTCTTATTATGGTCCGCTCCGTGCCGTCCGGAAGTCGACCTGTATGAGAATTTCCGTTAGAATTCTTTGAAACTACGGGTCATAATGCGAGGACTACGCCCTTTGTGCATTTCGCAGTCGCGTTTTTTTATTGATAACAAGGAAAAAAATTAGTTTTATTACATATTGTATTGAAATATATCAATGATATATATACTTTTTCTTTTGCACTAATTAAAATAGTTAAAAAATATATAAAATATTTAAAAAATGTTTATAATTTTTTCGAAATGTAAAATTTTGAAGTAGTGGATATGTATAAAATAAATTAATAACGTAAAAAATTTTGCTTTTGTTACATGCAACACATAATCAGATTTTATTAAAATTTTTCTTGATAAAATTGATCTTGGTGAATATTTGTCTAATTTCGTTTACGAATTAGCGCTGATTCTCAGCATTACTTGCGATATTTCAACTGCGAGCACAGGTGTTTTCTAAATATAATTGTAATTCTCTCTTTTTGTTTGATTTCTTAGTAATGTTTCTTAACGAGTGCAATGTTATTCTACAATCAGTTTTCATTTAAATTGTAACAGAATATCTTTTGCTATTTTTACTTTGTTTGCTGATAAGTTATGAATAAAAAATATATTTGCATTTATTTATAAGCAAAAATGTGATATTTGAAATTGATAAATGTTATTACGCGTTGTATTGCATAAATATAGAAGACAATAATAATATTTATTCTCTACAAGAATAAACATTTATCTGTAAATAAATAATGCTTATTCTTATAAAGAATAAAATTCTTATAATGAATAAAATTGTATTCTTGTAGAGATATAAATTATATTCTTGTAGAGATTATAAATTAAATGGAGATACAGAGAATATTAATTAAATAGAGATACAGAAAATAGAGATACAGAAAAGCATTATTGTTTTCCTCTCTAAAAATTATTCCATAGAATATATAAAAAATTAGCAAAATGCAAATGTATATCTTGAATTAGTATTTTGATTAATCAAAACATATAAATGAAAATTTGCTGCTTTTTTATTTGACATATGTGTGTCTAGAATATGTGTATACGTTTATATCGCTAATATGTATATCAAGCTACATGATGGTATTCGTCAAAGACGGATCTGGTATAGTAGGTGCGCGTATAGTATTGCGATGTGTAGTATCGCGTGTTTATCGACATACACGTGGGTGACCCAGCTTGAGATTCATTAAGATATATTCTGAATCAGGCATGTATTCATCCTGTCAAGGGCGACTGGTGTAATTTTTAATGTTGACGTCACAGAGATGACATCCAGATGAAAATTGTGATGTGCCTATGAATTAATTTTACATTTTCATTCCGTTTTTATTGGTTGCTAATTATTGAAAGAAATAATACTCTATTCAATATGTTTTTAATTATTTTTTTATATATTATTATATATATTACTACAAGTGGAAATGTTCTGTATTATAAAAATACAAATTTAATCTTTCTTATTGAAAAAGAATCTACATATAAATTATATGTATTATAAATTATATGTATTATTATATTATATTCATATGATGATATGATGCTTTAAGAGTTTTTTTAGGAATCTTTTGGTTTTGAGATTTTGAAATCAATTTGATTGAATATGTACGTCTTATGCTCATCATAGTTAACGATATATTGAAAAAAAGTAAATTCTATTTATATATTTATAACCATGTTAATCGACGAATTATATTGAACGATTCAATTTACGAGTCTAAAAATAAGTTGTTTGCCAACTGGGGCAAAATAGTGGACAATATTTTATTTATGATGGGATCGCGAAAGGGTCGATGCTCTCTTCGGTCGACCTAGTTTCGTGAGTGATATCTATATCTTTACTTTGACAAATAAAAAGAATTATTACTATAGTAATTATAGAGAATGAATAAGTTTATAAATTGAAAAGATGGAACAAAATTGAAAGTTCATAGCATCAGAAAAGTTTTTGCCTATATTTTTAGTATCTTAAGTATCTTTTTCTGATTTTTTGCAGCTTCTAGTATGCATCCTTATCGGACTGCACTACAACTCTTTTAATAGCGGTGACCAACATACCTCAATGATAACCATGGGCACCTTCGGCGGATATTTAATTATCTTAGTCGGTTTATTCATCGGAAGCGTGATGGGAACGCCAGTCAACCGTCGTGTGGTAAATAGATTAGATTCTATATTATTTATACAATATCAATAGATATTGCACAAAACATATACCTTTTCTTAAGAAAAGAAATAGACTCAAAATAATAATGATTATTAAGCGACGAAAATGGCAAATAAGATAACAACATATAACTTATTTATAATGTATATTTAATATATATGTTTTAAGAAAATTGAATATCTTGTAATACTTAAAAATTCTTTCTTGCGCTCTAATTTCTGCTTTTTTCGACCATTTTGATCACTTAGTAATCGTTATATCTTCTATTCTAGACGAAAATCATGATAGGCAATTGAAATAAAATACGCGTAAGAATATGATGTATATAAGGATGAAGTTAAGAAAAAATTTTAAAAATCTGTAAACAATGTATTTATAATTTCATAAACGAAAAATAAGTTAATAACAACGGTACAATAATTTTTTTAACTGATTGCGATTTTCTTTTATCTCTCAGGACCTCTTTTTCTCTCTCATTGGATGCGCTCTATTCATCGCCGCGGGCTCGCTCAACATCGACTTCTTCCAGAAACTGTCAACATACAGATCGTCATCATTTCGCGATACCGGTTTGGCCAAAGGTTCTCTCAGTATCATCGAGGGTGTTATTTTCCTCGTGGATGCATTCCTTACATTTCGGGGGGAAAATTGAAATCTAAATCATTTTCAAATACAATAGAGGGACTGCACGGCCGGCTATCGGTGTTACACATTCCGCAATTGACGGAAATCTTTTCTATAAAGGATGTACTGCCAAGAAGTTTCCTGATATAAAAAGAACCTCTTATTTTAGCCGGATAATCAAATATGAGAAGCATTTATCATCAGAAATCATATGGAATTATCAAACTTCGCAAAATCCAGAATTCGTGCCTTCTACCGTATTATTTTTATTATTACCAAGATATTTATTTGACTGATTTTAAGTGCATATATTTTTTCGATAACTTCTTAGAAAAACGTAGAGACAGAGAATTCTAATTTTAAAAATTTTGAAAATTTCTTATAAATCAAATTATTTATTATTAATTAGACAGTTTTCTTTTTTATTAAAAAAATTAAAAGGTTAAAAAATTTGTTAAAAAAATTTAATATATAATTTTGCGATTTGTATGAGTAATATATATAATTTTGCTATAGTACCTAACACCGATGATAGTACAAAACGTGCAGGGAACACAAAGATAATGATATATTTCATATATATACATGTTAATATTAATGAGTGGTAATCATTTCGTAGAAGCAGGCCAGTTGATACTATAATCATTAACAATAATATACTGATATTATACACTCATAAATTTAAGTTATATTTGTTAAATTTTGACAAGAGCAGCAGCAATAGAAAAAGAGAGAAGAAAAATAATAAATATCATGACATGTTTTTATACATCACACTATTGTATTTTGATGTTAAATATTTATCGTGGCGATCTCGAATCGTTCACCGTCTTTTCGCTAATATTCGCGAATATTTATCTTTGATTTGTATGTTTTTACGCTAAGACTTCACAATAATAAAGAAGAATTATGAACAAGACTACGGAGGATGTACATATATGGTGTTTTCGCACTTTTTTTGACACTTTCCTCTCTTCCATCACATTCATTGCAAAATGTGAAAATTTAAATGCGGCTCGCACGCTTGTTGTCATGTTGCATAAACCAGACGTGACATAATACAAGAAAACACAGGAAATTTCACGTGATGCAACTTTCACTATAATGTGCAAGAGCTATATTGCATTCGATAAAACACTCTTGAATATACGTATGTATATTCTATCGCGAGTAATTTATTGTTAATAATATAGGAAATATAAAATAAGAAATTGTTTTAATGCAGATAATGCTCGACTCTAACAAGAAAGTTTAAAATATTTTCTATTTAGATTTGTAATAAATTGAGGGTAATAAATTGTAGAAAAAAGAAAACATTATTAAAATAGAAATCAAAAACTTGTAAATAGTATGATATATTAAATTCAGTCCACAAATTAGGTCCATAAGATAAATCAAAAGAACATTAAATCAGAGGAATGGCTATTTAAAACGCAATATCAAACTTTTAATTTCAAAATTGAAAATAAACGTTTCGATCCAATTCGATCCCTCCTCAGTATAAAATGTAAAAATTTTACAAGAATATTACATTAATTTAACATATTTTATGATAAAATATTTTTATTGAATTAATATAGAATTTTTAAACAAAAATAAAAATGTTTATGGATTTATGCTCTTGTGAACGCCATGATTTTCTTGACAATATCAAAAGTTTATTATAATATAATATAATTAAGTAATATTATAATATAATTGCTAGAAAATTTACTTGAACAAATTATTTGAATTACTTATATTATATTAACCTCATTAGAAAGGAAGAATTCTTATGAGAAATGACCTTCGACTAAATTTTTTGAAAACTTACTATATAATAGTTATTGATGTGTAGATCAAAAGTGTCAGAACTCAGACAACTTCCAAAAAACATTTTCCGAATTTCTCCGTATAATAGGTCATTTTTTGGTAATATCCCTTCAATTACGAATAACTTTCTCTGGTAAATATAATCCGTTGATAAATGTGGATTAATTCATACCAATAAAAAAGGTCTGTTATTGATAGTTTGCTCAATAAAAGTTCCTGTCCACCTCATCGTCATCACCCTTCAGCGAAAAAATGGCTGTAGCATGGCCGCTGTGTTATACATATTATACAAGTTACTGAGTTTATGAGGATTTATTATAGTCCTTTTATTTATAGAACATTAAAGTAACGATTGAGAATGGAGCAAACATATATGATTGTTAGGACGGAATAGACGGACTGATATTGATAAAGGAGATGAACAAGTATACAAATAACGTGAGAAAAGGATGCACGCATACAGACATACACGCACATGCATGCACTATATACTTATACATAAATATGTCCTCTCAATAAGCTGCATGATGTACGAAAACCTCAACTTTGAGCCGCTGTAGCTCGTAAAACTGTTCGTAATCGGACTTTCATTGACACTTTTGACCTACACATCAAGAATTATTAGCAAGTTTTCAAAAAATTTAACCGAAAGTCATTTCTCATAAGAATTCTGCAGGGTCCTTTAAATAAATGATTAAATTTATAAACTTACATATACATTTATCTTAGAAATATATATATCTTATAATAAATAAAATATAGAAATAAAAAAGTTGTGTCTGCAACAAAATAATTAAACCCTTAATAACCGTTTGCCCTCCAGCTAATTTTGTGGTACCTTTAATGAAAATTAAAAATGTTATTATATCAAATTAAAAAATTCTATTCTACTTCGTCTAATTTCTACTATTGTCACTGTTGCTCTCAGTATTATCAATAATTTTATTATAATCAACTGAAAATAAATATCATAAATAATTTCATTATATTTTTATCATAAAATGTATATCGCTGTAGCGGAGCCTATGGAATGCAAAGGGTTAATCTAGAAATACTGTAATAATGAAACTTATAATAATAGAATATAAATAATAATAATAAATAATAATAAAGAACTATATATAGGAATTATACATTAATCATTATTATTATTTACGTCAACGATAGAAATTATTTCGGCGACTGTTGTTTGAAGTATTTAATTACCAATGTCGATTCAAGATCTCTACTATTGTCACTGTTGCTTTCAGTATTATCAATAATTTTATTATAATCAACTGAAAATAAATATCATAAATAATTTCATTATACTTTTATCATAAAATGTATATCGCCGTAGCGGAGCCTATGGAATGCAAAGGGTTAATCTAGAAATACTGTAATAATAAAACTTATAATAATAGAATATAAATAATAATAAATAATAATAAAGAAATATATACAGGAATTATACATTAGTCATTATTATTATTTACGTCCACGATAGGAATTATTTCCGCGACTTGTTTCAAGTATTTAATTACCAATCGATTCGAGATCTCTCGAAATCGCGCCGAGAATCGATTCTCGCAATTGCGAGCGCGTCGTGAGAGGTCGCTCGTGTGCGTGAGCGTGTAGGTGTACGTGTGTGCGTGATGCGGAACGGAGTAAGTGCATCGTCGCCGTCGCGCGTTCTTGACAAGGGCGAGAGAGATTCGTACTTTTTATTTCATCAATCATAGGCGCCGATGCGCGGTGCGTAGCGTTAAATGTGCGTGCAGGATGTCGAACCCAGGCGGTAGCAGGAGGAACGGAGCCATGAAGATCCGTCTGACAAGTGAGTGCGGAGTCGATTATCCCGACGAACGTCGGGCGTTTATGCGTGAAAGTCGCGGATCGCACGAGACGAGAACACCTACCTATCTGTCTACCTACGCTCGGCCTGTTTTTGTTGTGCATCATTCAATATGGCCCCGCGTGCACCCTGTTCCTCGCGGGGGGCTTCGACGCGAAACGTCAAATCGTTCGGCGGATGAAAGTTGAACGGACGATGCGATGGGTTTCGTCGTTGAGGCTCCCTCGCTCTCTTGGTTAGGTGCTCACTTCCTGTGGTGTGGTGTCGACCCCACCGCGAGCACTCTCCGGGAGACCGACGAAAACGTTAATTGTGAACAGTCGCGAAGTGTCTGTCTAGTCTATCATTATCTCCATAATATGACGGGGCTTATGCTTTGAGGAATTTTGTTGGGCATTATGTGTTATGTGAATTTCATGCAGAGCATGATTGAACTGTGTCATTATACTGTATTAAATCTGATTCTGTATAACGAAGATATTTTTTAAAGTTAAAACTATCAGAAAGAATGTTGGCATATTTTTTAAATATTTTTATAATTCTATGTACATTGGATAATATTTCTCGCTATCTTTTCTATTCGTGTTGCAAAAGACTGTTTAATCATTATCAGCAATTTGCATGAGTTATAACATTATTGATTTATTAAGTTTACTTCATCATAATAACACAAAGATAGTGGTATTTAATTATAATAATTTAAAGAATACTATTCTATACATAATAAATATAAAAAGACAGGAAATTCTAGCTTATCAAATTATAAATTATTAGTTCAAATTTTGTCTCACAAAATTTTATTTTTTGCATTACGTACTATGTGAATTTACACGCGAACAATGATTAAATGTCACTATATTCAATCTGAATTATATAATGAGGATATTTTAAAATTAAAAATATCAGAGAGAATATATGCATAGAAAAGATAATATTATTTTTTAAATATACTTTTATAGTTCTATATACATTTGATTGTATCTATCATTATCTCTTGTATTCATATTATAAAAGTCTTAATCATTAGCAACAATTTATATGAGTTATAAGATTATTATATTAAGTTTAAGTTTATTTTATCATAATAATAAAGATAATATAGTGATAATAATAAAGATAATATAGTGATATTCAATTATAATAATTTAAAAAATATCCTATGTATAACAAATATAAAAAGACAGAATTTTTTGATCATCATCAAATTATAGATTATTAAATCATTTATCTTATAAAATTTTTTAAAATTTCGGGTTAAATGTTATATATATTAATGTGGAAAATTTGAAAATAATATATTTAAATTATATATAATAACATACTATAATTATATGTGTGTGTGTGTGTGTGTGTGCGTGTGTGTGTGTGTGTGTGTGTGTGTATTATATATATTTTTATATAATACATGAAGTGAAAATATTAAAAGTAAAATATACTTTGACACATTAGTTATTACAAAATACACA